GGGGGGGGGGAGGGGGGTGTACAGGGGAGCGCTTGTCAGTTTCCGTAGGATGCCCTGAACGACTCAGCTCCTCCTCCAGGTGCAAAACAGAGGCCAACTGTCGGGCTGCATCCCGGAGATTTGCCTGCCTCGGATTTGATGGGGCTGGGGGTGGGGGGCGACCGGGAAACCACAGACTCTTTAACCTTATAAACCCCAGGTTGGGATGGGCGCGTTTCAGGGAGGAGGGGACCCGGAGCCCGAGTTGGAGGGTGGGTATGGTGAAGAGGCTTTCCGGGTCGGTGGGGTAGTTTTTTTCCCCCTCTTCTTCGGCAGCCATCCCCGGATCCCTCCAAAGTTAGGAAAGCGCCGAGCCAAGGGTACCCCGGGAGCGCTCGATTCCACCCCCCTCTTCCTAGTTCATCTGCCCGCTCCTCCGTACCGCTTCCTAGTAGCCCGCTGCATCGGTATAAAGGGGCTGTCTGCCGAGGCGAGCTGTGGCCCGAGCGGCGCGGGTCTAGGTACCGTTTTTGACGGCCGGCTCGCCTCGCCCGTCCTGCTTGCTCCTCTCACTCGGTTGCCTCCGCCTCCCTCTCAGCCTTTGCATGCTTCACTTCCCAGTTTAAGCAGACACGGGCAAGCCCTGCTGAAAAGATAGCTGTCTGAGGGGCGGCCTTCGCAGAGCGCCTGCCCATTGTTCGGAAAGGCCGGCCCGGAGTCCTGTTGGCGAGGCCGGGCTCCCCGCCAGGCCAGCGGTGCTCCAGAGGTGGCGAGCGCGGCAGCCTGGCGCTCCAGCTGTTCGCGTTGGAGTGATTGCACAAGAGCCCCGCTCAGCTCCGGACCCCCCTCGTCCCCCCCACCTCCAACTTATTTTCCATGAAGTTGCAGCTTTTGCCCGGTGAGGGTTTTGTTTTGTGTTGATTTCACGAGTCTCTCTTGATTTTTATTTTTAATGTTTTGTTTGTAATTTTTGTCTTTCTGTGAGTTACAAGCAAGTAGCAAATTTCAGGGAGGACTTTGGTTTTCATTCTGCAGCCCTCTTGGTGTTCCCCATCTTCTGCATAGAATCCTCAACATTGCCCACTGACTTGGTCAGGTTGGTTAAGTTGGTATTTAAAAGACAAACGAGGAAAATGGCAAGCAACTAAGTAAAATCTATTACAGTTTGACATCATCTTGATTAGAACAAGCATATTCTAGAGAGTGCCTTGAAAGGGACCCATGGATAATAATACTATATATATCATTATATAGTACCTAGGTGCATATGGTTAGCATTCCTTTCTTTCAGAAAATGTCTGTAGCAATCAACATTTTGGGATAAGAGTTTTGATTTCTGGGTGAGGAACTTAGCACCTGGAAGCGTGCTTCAGTCCAAAGAGAGTTAAGGAAGATTTGCCTCAGAAATCAGTGCCATTCCTTGTGATGGAAACCACCACTGATTCCATTGATAGTTTTTTTTTTTTTTAAAAAGAGACCGGTATGAGTTGTCTTCCCATGGGGGCTGGAATTCAGACAGTTTAGGATAACCATTCTTCCTCACTCACCCTTCCCTCCTGTCCTGCATTTCCAGATTACTTTTCTATTTCATTTTAACTTGGGGTTGGAGGAAGAGGAGGGAGGTGAAGCCACCAAGAAATCACAGTGTGCGCTGGCCCTTTAAAACACTGCCTAATGTGATCTATATGGATGGCCAGCTTTTAAGTTTCATAGGTTCTAGGATTACAAATTAGCTAATTTTAATCAAAACATGTGAAATGTTATCCCGGCTGGATATAAAGGCTGACTGTGCTCGATGCTTGGGGCTCACGTTGTTGACTTTGGCTGCAGGAGCACTCCGTGGTTTGGGAGATAGTTGTCCTTCTACAGTATAACAGATGTTTGTCTGAACTGGTGAGGAAGAAACAAAAACAACATTGTGTGAAGGGGAAAAATTACACAATTTTTAGCTAGTGCTGCAGGACTAAGTATGGAATTAACCTTCATGCACAGAATTTCCTCTTTTTAAAATGTTATTTTTCTTCCAAATCGCCACCTACTATTTGAAGTTTTAATCCTTGTCATTTCAGTACAGAGTAGCATTAAATAAGAAGTTTTACGCAGCAACCAATTCAATTGCCTGAAGTATCCATATTTTTTCCCTAGTTTGGAACAATGTGTAAGAGACCCCAGGTCAGAATCTTCAGTCAGGTCGGTGTGCACCATGCCAGTGAGGGATGAAATCCCATTTCTAGAGTAGTTCTTCAGTATGCATTCTTCTAATATAATAGCACCCGAAGTTCTCATTTTTAAAGTGATTTCTCAAAGTCAGAAGGTGGGTTATCTTGAACTCGTGAATATTTTCTGCTTTTAATGTTAATAACCACCTCCATAAAGCCCTTTCCCATACCTCTTGGTATTACTACCTCTCCATTTCCCCAACCTAAAATGGTAGAGTAACGCAACAAGTTGATTGCCTTATGTAAAAATATGTGCAACAAAATGTCACCGAGAACATAATGTGGCCTTGTGCAGCTTCATACCGGTGCCGCTGGAGCTGCCTGGCTGTGTTTGCCTTCATCTGAACGGCTTTCATCTGGACCAGTGTAAACTAAGCCCTGGTAAGTAATCACTGCCCGGCAGGAAGAAAGGAATGTATACAGCTAGCCTGGCCTAAGCTGTAAAAACGGAAACCTGAGCCCCCACCGTGGATCACATAGCAAGGCTGGAAGGTAGGGGAAATGAAAGGGGGAAAGAGGAGAGAGCGAATGCAAAAGTCAGCCTGGGAAGTGGAGGATCAGGAGGAGGCCCCCCTTAGGGAGAGTTGGCTCAGGGATTAGGGAATTTTATCGTGGTGTCCAGTGACCTACTCAGGTTTCAACACTGCTTGGATCAAGTTGCTTCTCTGTGAGCTGAAAGAAAAAGGACTGGTGTGTATGTGATTTTTTTTCCCCTTGGGGTAATAGAAAGGACATTGGTACAAGTGTCTATTTTAAGTACAGCAAATGCAGGGCACTGAAAATGAGCACCAAAATTGCCTCATCATAGAGACTTCAAGATTTCCTAATTGAGATAGTCACACATTTATTTAAAAATGGACGGAGAAGACAAACTGGCTGAGGTTTAGCTGACACCAGTAATGTCATTGGAGATTGTCTTCATGTGGCTAGAAGCTAATGTTGGTTGCTGTTTCACCAGATCAGATATTGAGTTACATTTTCCTTATCACTGGTGTAATGTACATGGCAGTTGTAACAAATTTAAATTTGATACAATATAATTTTGTGTGTGAAAAGTACATGACTTGGCATAGCTTGCCTTTAGTGTCCTCTAGTGAAAATATCTTCAAGTAGAAATGTTTGTCTCATTATGATCTTTACTATGTTTCATTATCTTTCCTTTCCCCCACTTCATCCTGGTTTTTCTTAATTAAAAAGACTTGTTACATTACTGTACTTACAATCAGTCTGCCTTGTTTAGTTAGTGACCAATAGAGGGAATTTTAAACAATCAGATGGCAATTCAATTTATATTTTGAGTACTTTCGGTTTCTAAAGTGAATATTGTGATTGTATCTAATGTAATATGCCTTCAATATATTGTTAGCTCACATGAATCATTATAAGTGGCCCTTAGGAGGAAATTTGACATATGGAAGTGTTAATTTGTTTCAGGAGTTCATCCAGAACATAATATAGAAACTAGATGTAATATTGGATGTGTAAATGTAAATATATGAGTAAGTTTAAATATAGTTGCACTTAAGGGTATGTATTTTATATGCAGAGATCTTGGTGAGCATGAACATGATTAGTGACTAGCAAACAGTAATACAGCTCAAAAAAGTCTAAGCTATGTGTAGAGATAATGAGTCAGATTTTCATCTTCTAAACTCTTTGACAAAACCAATGTGATTAGATCATGCACTCTGCCCTGGAAACTTTCCTAAACAAACCAAAATTAATGCATTTACAATGTTTGGCTTCCTTATCAATTGCTCAGCTACAGGATAAGCTGTGTTAAATGTTTTAGGTTCTTTGCTGAAGAAGTTCTCTGTCTATAAATATTCTTAATAAGTAATTTGTACCTAAAATTATGCTTCAGTCCTAATGTTAGAGTCAGGCACATCTGTTAGAGTTTAGGAGTAAACCCACCATAAGATTTTCTAGTTTAGTGTCTGATGGTCTCCATTTGGCGTTAAAAATGACCTGTGTCAATTGCACAGACAATAAAGCAAGTTGCAGAGTTGAGCTTGTGAGTGTGGTGATTTAAATAGCTTGTCATAAAATAAAACAGTGATATCAGAATGTGGATTGGAAAGGTCAGCATGTTTAAGGTTAAAACCAGCTCATTGCTAAAACAGGTATATTTTAAGTTTTGCTCCTGAAACTCCATCCTGATGTCAGAAACAGTAAGGAACCTAGGAAGTGGGCTTGGGACCAGATCTCACTGTGGCATTCACAAATTATGTCAGACCTCCCTGGCTAAGAAGTGGTCTGGGGTGTGCTGTCCGGCAGGGCTGGGAATTCATGTCAGGTGGGACGTGGCCCTTGCCTCTCGGGAGCTGGTATAGGATGTTCCCTGGCCCACTGGCCTTGTGCTCGGCATTGCTCTCAGTTGTCCTGCTCAAGGCTCTGGTCTCAACCCAGAAGAGAAGTTCCTGGGAGGGCACAGAGAGCTATGAATCCTGCTCTGTTCAAACCTGGAGTTTTCTGAAGAGTCTCTTTCTCCATCTGTGAACCTGTGAGGATGATGTGTGGTAGAGCAAGACTCTCTAAGCCTTACACAACTCACAGGTTCCAGAGAGGAGGAAATGGAAAGGAACCACTCCACTTCCTCCCAAATCTGAAATAAACATTTGAACTAGAAGAAAATGAGTCTGACAGACTCATTCCCTTCTGCGTTTCCTGCCTCTGTGCTTGCCAAGCCCTGCTCTGAGAAGCCAAGCTCTACTCTCCTTGTGTGAAAGACGGACTCATAGGAACCAAGAGGTAACGGAGTTTTTAAAGGAAAGTCAAAAAACAGGGCCTCAAAAAGGGCAAATAGCAGTGAATACACACTACAAGTGACTGTCTGAAAAAGGAGAGTTCGGGGAAATAGACTATCTCGTTAGGGTGACCAGACTTTTTATATCTTCTAAGGAAGGATTCTTTTCATTGAGTCTTTATACTTTTTCTTTTGAAAAAATTATTAGAAGTAGTAGAAGGTGGATCCTTTAAAAATCTCAGAAGTCTAAAACTTCCTTTTGCGGAATGGGAAGTCAGCCACATTTACACTCTTGAGCTAATAAGATTATTGAATATTTTCCTAAAAGAAAAGGGATATTCTAGGGGAGAATGAAAAAAAAAAAAAAAAAGCAACCTTGTTTTTGATGGTGCCAATTGAAACATGTAAACAGACATGAAAGCCTGAGGTGGGTGAAATTTGCTGAATGTATATTTTCGAATCTGTAGACTGATGGGTGTTAATATCTCTTATATAACTAAACGTCTGTGGAACTCCTGCTTTAAGGCCAGTAGCTTTGGCGTGGACAGGAAAACAATGTCACAAGTCTTGGTGATTTCGAAGCCAGTGCTGCAGCTGTGATAGGACACAGCTGCCCACAGCTGCACGCCTGCTATGCCTGCCACAGGGTCAGCCCGAGGGCTGGCCTCCACAATTTCACACATTTGTTTGACCTTTTTAGGACATTTGATGTCCTGGCCACAGATTAAAACATGGGGACATCATTGTCTGCTCCGCATCACAAGAAGACAATAAAGCAACATAGATGTTTACATGTGGAAACACACACATTTTGGTTTCATGTGACAATTATACAACCTTCCCATTGAGACTGTGTCAGTAAGAGAGCAAGACTTTCTCCTCAGGCCTGCTCCAGGTCGGAGCTGGACTTTAGTGCTCTGATGTATCCCCTGC